GAAGTCAGTGTTTCCAGGAGTCTTGAGCTCATCAGAGATGAGCGCTCTAGAAAGAGCCGCCTCTTGGTTCGTACAGCAGTCAGCTATTACTGCCATACGTCCGGCTCAGTCTCTTAGTTCTGTCTAGATGGACTCAAGCAGGTGTGGCCGATGCATTGTGCTGTCTCCAGATCATAGATAGAAACGATGTACAATAGTACAATGGTGTGCTGCTCAACATGACAGGGAAGCGGTGGGGGAGACTGCCCAGAGACCATCTGCTTCTTGCCCAGGAAAGCAGTGTGTCCCAAAGTGGGCCATGCCCTGAGGGTGGGCGCACGAACATGATCCAGGTGGACTGCGAAAGCAGATACCTACACTTTATCCTGGATTATCATGATCCAGGTGGACTGCGAAAGCAGATACCTACACTTTATCCTGGATTATGAGCTATAGTACAAAAGTTTTTTATTGCTAGGGGGTGCTGAGTAATTTTTTTTCCTGAAAAGGGGCAATAGGTCAAATAAGTTTGGGAGCGTGTGTACTACAGGATGTCCTTGTGCCACTTTTAGGAGACCCCCCCCAGCTCAGAGACTCTGCCCAGTTCTTAGATTCAACGTAGGCAGTATAGACCCAAGAGGGAGATGAGCAAGGATCCTGTCCATCTGTGCTGGTCTGAAAGGTACTGATAGGCTTGGAAGCCGTAGCAGACCTGGCTCACTGTTTTCTCTCAGATGAAATCTGTTTCAGTTGGACTGTGCCCACCAGCCACGCTCCATTGGCATAGACAGCGTGCAGCCGAAATCAAGCCATGGTTCCTCCCCATCCCACAGTTGTTAGCAGTGTTGATCCACTTGTCTCCCCATAGCCATGAAGTCCCTTCTAGGCTTTTGCATTATCTTCATCAACTCTAGGTTCCTCATTATAGAAATATTAAAGCTTTTGTGAGAACTGATTCAACCTTCTGCCCAGACATGTTTCACAAGCCTCCTTGGGCCTTTTTCCATGTCTGATCTCACACTAGGGAGCCCTGATGGAATACTGGTTAGGCGTTTGACTGCCATCTGCAAGTCAGCAGTTCTCCCAACCCACCACCTGCTGCTCCATGGGAGAAAGACAGGGCTTTCTATCCCCAGACACAGTTACAGTCTCGGGAACACAAGGGGCAGTTCTACCCTGTCCTGTAGGCTCGCGGTAGTTGGCATTGACTCGGTGGCAGTGTGCTTGTTTGTTTTTTGTTCATCTCACACTGTGTTTTCCAGCTGGAGCTTTTAGTGTTCCCCAGCCTTTGACTTGCTGGAATTATACTACCTGGCCTTTGACTTGGTAGAATTATACTACCTGAACTTTGGCTTGGTAGAATTATACTACCTGACCTTTGACTTG